TACATGAATTTTTTTTATGATGTCTTACGATATGTATTCCCCCAACCCTCACAAAAACACAGGCTATTTTTGGGATTTTTTTTTTTTTTTTAGCTGAGCCATCCTGCCATCTGTTCGCAGCTCAGCGGCAGCTCAGCTCGGGCCAGGAATCAAACCGGCGACCTTGTTGCTCAGAGCTCGCACTCTTGAGTGAGCTCTTAACCAACTGAGCCACTCGGACGGCCCTTGGGATTTCTTATCTGGTGCGCACATGTGCATCCCCGGCACACAGAACAGTGCTGAGAACATAATGAGTGCTCAAAAGTATTTGCTGAATGAATGAAAGTCCTGGTGAACATAAACACTGACACGTGAAAGGAGAGAGTCGTCCCTTCTTTTTATTTTCCAAGGGCTTGAAGTTCGAGATGGGGTGAGTTTTCACTGGCTTCACCCGCACTCTAACCAAGATACCAGACTGGCACTTTGCTATTTTGACATCATGCTATGAAAACTTGCTTTACCTCCACTCTGTGGGAACAACACTCAGTGAAGCAACACCACAAGCCTGAAAGTTTTTCTCTCATTTTTGTGGGGGAGGCTCGCTTAAACACTTGAACTTTCCTGCACATTATTATCACCTGGGAACTTTAAGGCACTCCACAGGTCATGATAGAACTGGTCTGGAGAGCTGCCAAACATAAGGAGTTTAATAAACTCCCAGGTGATTCTAAGGTGCAATCAAGTTTGAGAAGCTTCAAGCCAATCTACCAGTTAGAGAAGGTGTGGAGGGAGGGGGCTATTGAGCAATTATGAAGAAGAGCAAAGACTAACACAGTGAATGATGAGGCAAGCTAAAAAATCAGAAGGAAAAAAATGGCAAAATAAACTTGAATTTCAGCATATGCTTCTCTACAAATGAAAAGCCTTATGTGTTATTCGGGCTATGTACAAATGGGAAACTTCAATCTTTAGATGTTTTGGGAGAAAAATCTGGAGAAAAAAGCTGCTCAGCTGCAATCCAATTTCCAGGCACTTTTTTTCTGTGTCAAAGCCAGCTGCCTGAGGGGCAGCCAGAATGAGGAAACAAAGAAACATGTCCCAAATAAAAGAACAGGAGAAACCTCCAGAAATAGATCTAAATGAAATGGAGACAACCAACTTACCAGAGACAGAGTTTAAAACACTGGTTATAAGAATGCTTAAGGAACTTAGGGAGAATTTCAACAGAGATAGTAAGCATAAAGAAAGACATAGAGTGTGAGCTCTGAGCAACAGCGGTTTGATGCCTGGCCAGAACTGAGCTGCCAACAGGTGGCAGGATGGCTCAGCTAAAAAAAAAAAAAAAAAAAAAAAAAAAAAAAAAAAAAAAAAAAAAAAAAANAAAAAAAAAAAAAAAAAAAAAAAAAAAAAAAAAAAAAAAAAGACATAGAAACCATTAAAAAAAAAGTCAGAAAAAAATACAATAACTGAAATGAAGAATACACTAGAAGGAAACTCTAGCAGATTACATGAAGCAGAGGATTGAATCAGTGATTTAGAAGACAAGATAGCAGAAATCACCCAATTGGAACAGCAAAAAGAAAATAATAATAATAATAATGATAATAATAAAGATAGCTTAAGGGACCTGCAGGACAACATCAAGAACAACAACATTCACATTATAGGGGTACCAGAAGGAGAAGAGAGGGAACAAGGAAATGAGAACCTATATGAAGAAATAATAACTGAAAACTTCCCTAACCTGGCAAAAGAAATAGATATACAAGCCCAGGGAGTGCAGAGAGTCCCAAACAAGATGAACCCAAACAGGCCCACGCCAAAACATATCAAAATTAAAATGGCAAACGTTAAAGACAGCAAGAGGAAGCAGCAAGAGACAGACAACTAGTTACTTACAAGGGAGCTTCCATAAGATTGTCAGCTGATTTCTCAATAGCAACTTGCAGGACAGAAGGGATTGGCAGGAAATATTCAATGTGGTGAAAAACAAGGGCCTACAACCAAGACTACTCTACCCAACAAGGCTATCATTTAAAATTGAAGGAGAGATAAAGAGCTTCCCAGATACGAAAAAGCTAAAGGAATTCATTACCACCAAGCCAGTATTACAAGAAATGTTAAAGGAATTCCTGTAAGCAAAAGAAAAAAAGAAAACAAATGAAGATAAAAAATAGGAATAATAAAATGGCAACAACTATGTATCTATTAATAACCACTTTCAATGTAAATGGTGAAATGCTCCAGTCAAAAGACATAGGGTAGCTGAAAGGGTAAGACAACAAGACCCACACATATAAGAGGCCCACCTCAGATTGAAAGACACACATGGACAGAAAGTTAAAGGAATGGAAAAAGATATTTCATGGAAATGAAAAAAAAAAACTGGAGTAGCAATACTTATATCGGACAAGATAGACTTTAAAATGAAGACTATAATAAGAGACAAAGAAGGAATTACATAATGACAAAGGTTGAATCCAACAAGAGGACATAACCCTAGTAAACATCTATGCACCAAACACAGGAGCACCTAAATATATAAAATAAATATTGACTGGCATGAAGGGAGAGATCAACAGTAACACAATCTTAGTAGGGGGACTTTAACACCCCACTGACACCAATGGACAGATCTTCCAGACAGAAAATCAACACGAAGCGGCCTTAAATGACACACTAGACCAGTTGGATTTAATTGATATTTTTAGAGTATTTCACTCCAAAGCAGGGGAATATATATTCTTTTCAAGTGCACATGGAACATTTTTCAAGATGGACCACATGTTATGCTACAAAACAAGTCTCAATAAATTTAAGAAGATTGAAGTCATATCTAGTGTCTTCTTTGACCACAATGGTATGAAGCTAGAAATCAATTACAAGAAAAAAACTGAGGGCCGGCCGAGTGGTGCGTTGGTTTAGAGCTGGCTTGGGATGCCAGAGGGCCCTGGTTCGGATCCCACATATGAGGGTCAGTGACACTGCCCTCTACAGCTAAGATGCTGAACAGCAGCTCAACCTGGAGCTGGGCTGCCGTGAGTTGCCAGCAACGGCGTAGGCTGCAGCCCCTGTGGCAGTGGGTTGCCATGAGCTACTGTGTGTAGCCAGCAGCCAGCGTGAGCGGCCATCCAGCCAGCGTGAGCGGCTGTCCAGAAGCCGGCGACTGATCTGCCTCGCCCAGGAAGAGCACAATGATGGTGCCAACTTGGGCCAGTGAAGCCACGTCCTCCACAACTAGACTGAAGAACAAAAGGACAGCAACTTGTCTGTTCCCCTTCCCCCAATTCCCCAGCACTGTTACCATCCCCCCAATTCCCCAATTAAAAAAAAAATCTTTAAAAAAAAAGGAAAGCAAACTAAAGGTTAAAAATCGGGGATCTAAGGACTGAGATATGAAAGAGGGTTTCGTTAACTTTGGGGATCAGAAAATGCATTTCCGTTCTGGTCCAGGCTATTAGTTCCCTGAGAGCGGGGAACATGGCTTATTTCTGCACCGTCCCCAATACCTAAGGATGGCAAATTGCATGTAGCAAGGCTCAGGTAATGTTTCCTAGCATTATTATGAACCAGAAACTTCATTTTACATATGTGGAGCATTTTGATAGTTTATAAAGTGCTTTCAAGGAAAGCATTGAGGCCTTTTGAGCTCCTTTTGCTTGGCCTACTCCAAACTCTTTGGAGTGTACTTTTTTCTTTTTTTCCTTTTTTTTTTTTTTTTTTTTTTAGCTGAGCCATCCTGCCA